GTATCTGTTTGTGAGGAAAGACTTAATCCATTGCAATAGGGGGTTTATAATTCCAACTGACTGTAGTCTGTTGATTAGAAGATTATGGGGTACTTTGTCAAAGGCTTTCTTTATATCGAAATAAAGTATAATAACTAGCTTTTTCTGGTCACGTATGCGAGTAACTTCGTTAAAGAAGTCTATCAGACATGTACTACATGATCTTGTTCTAATGAAACCATGTTGTGTTGGGTCTATTAGTTCTTCCTTAAGTAGGTGATCTGATAGTTGACTTTGTATCACTTTTTCCATTATGCGCGAAATAACTGGGGTGATATTTATAGGTCTGTAGTTTCCGACCAGGTTTCTCGGTCCTGATTTGTGTTTGGGAAGAACATACGTTACCTTCCAGGCTTCAGGATATGTACCCGCCTCTAAAGATAGTGTGTATATTTTGAGCAATAACGTATGTATATCCGGCCCCGACATTTTATAGAGAATTGATGGTATATCATCAACACTAGAGCTCGCATTCGGCTTAAGGGTTTTGATGGCGGTATGTATACTCCTAATGTCAAAGTTTATGGTGCTAATATAGCTTTTGCTTATGTATTTTATGTTAAAATCTGGGGCATTAGATGTATTCCCGTTTTGTGAAAACCATTCTTTTAGCAGTTCGCATATGACGGTTTGGTCATAGTACGTCACGCCATCGTGCAGTAAAGAGTGAATGTTGTGATCTTCGTTCTTTCTCATCCGTTTTGCAAGGAGCCGACATAAGTTTTGGACTTTAGATGCAGCTGTGAGCGCAGTACGTTCTTCTGTCTGTTTGTTTTTGTTGTGATGACTTTGCACTCCTTCAAGTACTGAGTATACCTGGTGCAGGGCACTAAAGTCTTTTGATGTAAAGTACGTCTTTCTTAGTTTTCGTAGCTTAGGCTTCGCCTTTTGGTTGATGTAGGGAGCAATTGTTTTGAAAGCAATTTTAGAAGGGATGGTAGTGTCTAGTGCAGATTTGGTGGTAGTATTGAATATTTCCAGTGTTTCTAAAAGGTTATCACTGGTGAAGAAAGTGTTCCAGTCAGAATGCTTCATAAGAAACCGAAAGTTACTCCAGTCGGCGTTTGCATAGTCTCTATATTGGAAACACGTATTTAATGTCTTCAATTTTTTGCGCTTGGCAAGAATCGGAAGGGTGCAGAAGACTATTTTATGATCGCTATTATGGAACTTCTCGCCAACCACCATTGATGCTGGTGTGACATTTTGACAGAATATTAAGTCAAGAATGTTGAGGTTCCGGGTAGGCAAGTTAACATGTTGCTGCCAACCGTGTATGTCTAAGGACCTTAGTATTCCTTCGTAGCACAGTGGGCCAGAATGTGTCTTCCAGTTGATGGTTGGAAGGTTGAAATCACCACAGACAATTTTGTAGGCGAAGTCAAGCGAGGCAGCCTTAGCAAATGACTCACTTATAATGGTGTCAGTCAGACTGGGGGTATTCGGAGCTCGATATATACATCCGATTAGTATTTTACATTCAAGGGTGTGTACAGTAAGCCACATCGAATCTGGTACTTTACTGAGGATATGATCACTAAAGATTTCCGTCCTCATGTTTTTTGATGTATATATGAGACAACCGCCACCCTTCTTGGTGACTCGGTCACAGCGGAAGAGCTCATACGTGTCTATTTGGAGGTACGTGTCTGTGATATCGGAGGACAACCAACCTTCCGTTATCAAAACAAGTGAGGGGTTGTGTAAAAGTAATAGGGCGCGTAGTTGAGTCATCTTATTCTGAATAGATCGGGCATTAATTAACATTAGTGTCAGGAAGGATGAGTGTTTGTCTAATAAAATGTTGTGCTGTAAACCCTGTGGTTTGTCGCTTTTACTATGAGAAGAGGAAAAAGTGGGAGTATTGGCTCTACGTTCTTGTTTGTTTAGTTTAATACCAGCATAGTTAACGGGAGAAAGGTGGTCGTAGGTTATTTTGGCGAAAGAAGTATGTTCACGAGTGTTGGGTAGAATCGGGTGAGTTAAATGGATAGGCGGTGTATTCGGGGGGTGATCATGTTCCGTCAAGGATCTTTTAAGAATAGAGACAGTTATCGACGGTGATAAAGATGTGTCACTCCCCATCAGGTCGGAGTGTATGGAAGGTGGTCTCAGAATAGTGGAATTGTCGCCCTCAACATTTGGAGACCCCATAGCAATACTGTTGAGGGGGAGAGAGATAAAAAAGGATGAGGTGGTGTGTGTGCCAAATTAGGGGAGATCAGAGAGTTATAAAAGGTGGTTTGGTTCTGGTAGTATTTAGAATCGATAGGTGGGTCCCCAAGCAGGCCAACATTATGGTTGTCTTGTGTGCAGTGGGGTGTTCTACTCCTGTTACGGGTAGTTAGGGGAGTTGTATGTTTCAAATAATTATTGCATGATTGTCTGACATTGTTGCCGGGGATGGTGTTCCTGTTGTGTGGGCTGTGCTGATTCCTGTAACCTGCATGTTTCAAGCTATATGGCTTATTGGCATCATGTGTAAGTGTGGTTTTTGTCGGGCGTAACCTCACGTTAGGATATGGGGGTACTGCCAGTTCATTATGCTTGTTGTAATGCATTCGACTACTATGTGTAGGTGCGTGTTGTGTATTGAGAGATCTGGAGTACTTATGGGTGTTTAGAGAGAATTTGGTATTATTTCGCATAACTGGTGATCAAGGGACAGATTTCGACCGACGAGACCTTAGTCATCTCTTTGGTTTATTTGAAAGGTTACCAAACAACTGATCATTAACACAACTGATCCGAGATTATGAAGATTAACAAACTTTGTTCCCTTATAGTTTGCTATCACCAAGGGGATATGACGGAATAGACGAAGATACCATTCAAGATAAGTATGAAAGACTTTAACAGCAGGTTATTCATCTCGTTAATTTATCTCGGAAATAATGGTAATGGGATACTTAATATCCCTCTAAACATATCAACATAGTGATCATGGCATTGGATATTTCTATTCCTCGTATATAGCTTTTACGAGTGGTAGAAAGCAGTGAAGATCACGTTAGGAAGGTATGATATAACAATCAGCACGAAAAATAGGTTAGTCAGAAGATATACACACTAAGTATGTCTCCTTGAAAAGTGATTAGTGTATATGAGCGTAGGAAGGATGGATAAGCTTCCAAACCACTCCTTAAGTGTCGAGGATTTAATGGGATGAACCATGACTGGAGGTACGAAAGTCGCCTTGTGTTACAAGGAGGAATTTTTCATGTCAGCGTGTGGTCTTATTTTGGAGTTGTGTGCGAATGTGTATGAAAAAACCTCCACGTGTACACGCGTAGTTCATTCTTATTGGTTTATTTGGCTGTACACACCTCCGAGCCTTTGATTCTAGTTTAGAAGCTACCATTCATTTTTTGCTGTGATACTTGTTTCTATTGAGTTTTAACTGACTATCTAAGTTTCTCATGAAGTTCTATGTTGTTTTATCTGACATTTCGGTCATGTTGGCTACCCTATTGATTCCCTGTTTCAACTGAATATATTTGTGCATCTTTCGTAATTGATTGGAACACACTTCCTGTCCTGGAAACGTTCAGTGCTGTAACAAGTTTAAAGCGAGGATACTGGGTTCGAGTCCCAGAGTGAACATCAACTCTGAGATGCAGGTACATCCAGCTGACGAGTCCCAAATAGGACGAAACGCGCGTCAAACTGGATTCCACTGCTAGCCACTATCCATCCTTGCTTATCATGCTTGTGAATCAAGGCTATATCGAGACAATACTCACAGTATGCACATATGCCAATTAGGGACTGACCAGTTGCAATCCTAACACATCGATGGGAAGATTCAAACAAACAATACTAGGTGAATTTAAGTTTAAATATTGCCTATTAGACAATCTGTGCTCGGCAAATCAGTGAGAAATAGAATAATATTCCTGTTGTGACAGAAAATTTTAGTTTTTTAAAACTGATTTGCTTATCTGCTGGATAATTACTGGTTGAGTAACTGGGTGCTAATTTTGTATAGAGCTGTCGCTCATCCGACCACATTATTTTGGAATTTGACTGGGCAGGTGCCCTAGCGGTTTAAGCCAACCTCCACAATTATCCATTTATCTGAACTTCCTTGGGTTGAAAACTACAGTTTCTATGCTTTCTTCTTCTATGGTTATGTTTACCTTGTCTCGGCTCTACTGTTTTGCGGTGTTTTCACGACTGTTAGAAACCAGGTTTTCAGTGACCACAAAGGTTATACTGAACCTAATATACTGACTGTCAGTGTCCAACTATGTTATCTGCGGTTAAAAAGTGATATTTTGTGCGTTCAAATTTTTTAAAGCCGAAATAATACTGGCTATTGAATACTCAACGGATTATTTCTTTTAGTTCGATCACCAATCTGCAAATCGGCAGCCAATATACATTTTTATGGTTGTATTGTGTACAAACAAGGTGGGACGTGCGTTTTGATGCTAAACTGTGCAATACTAATTACAGTGGTCCAAAACGAATGGTACAGAATGTACCTCAGAATGAAACATCAATTACACTAAATATAAAATGTCTCTCATCCTTTTGATATTATAAGATCAGAAAATAGATGAAAAAGTTTACAAAGTCATTGGCAATGAAAAGTGGTAGATAAAAGTCTTTTCACTTTCTGTTTGTGTGGCGGAGTCTGCAAATACTGTATATTTATCACGGGATCGAACTCTCATGTGGACGATTAGAAACAAATTTCATCAGGCCCACTAAAAAGATGTAATTGGCTTTCAGAGTGAAACTAAGATTTTACCTAAGAAACACACAATGTATGGGGACTTTCAGCGATACTAATGGTTTGTTTCTAAGAGCTTCGCAACAGTTCCTAATACAATAGTATATATATGCATCAGTAATATTTCATTCAACATTTAAGTATATTGTGTCTCATTTAATTTTGTCGGGCATTTATAATTTTTTAATATGTGATTATATTTGCTTCCGCATTTGTTTTTCTTTTTTCCTAAAGTCAGAGTTGTAGGAATGTGGCACTTTTGAAAGTTCTACTAATTTTCGGTAAAAGTTGGTTTGCTGATTAGATTACCCTTTTTTATATTTGTCTCCATTCTATCGAACAGTTTGTGTACGCGAGATTAATTGTCTGGATAAGTAAATAATTTTCATTGATAAGTGCGGCTGCCTTAGAGCTCACTCATGTACGTACGTAATAAATTACCGCTTATCTAAGTGGTCATATCTAACTGCTGCCAGTGGCAATTATGTAGTACAAATGCTTATTACTTGTATCTATTAACGTCGTGCTGTGTGATTTAAAGGTGTTTCTAACAAGCTTTAGTGCGCCGACACATATAACAGCCAAATGACACCCACAAGGCTTTGCATGTGTAACTGTCTCTGTATCTAACAAGTAGAATGTACCCATATCAGTTATTGTTCGTGAGTATTCTTAAAATATGTCTAAATGAGTATCACTGCGTCGTGAATCCTCAGTAGTCAACCAGTTCACTGTAAAGGATTTCAGTAATTGGTATTCCCTAAGATAGCTTTGAGTTGGTATCAGTGTAAAGTCTAGCGTTTTGTGCCCAGCTTTTTGCTTAGGTTCCTTCGTTAGATAAAATGTGAAATTTTGGATTTCTTTGCTTTTACTATTCTTGTTTAAGAATCTACACGGTAGGATCGTGTTTATTTCAAACACTCGATATAAATATTTCCATGTATATGACGCTTGTTATTCTCGTTGTGTGAAAAATCCTATTTATCTTAGCTTCAGTGACCAAACCCACCTATTTGTCCAAAATATCGTTTGCAAGCCTATTGTTACCCAGTCATCGTTTATCGATTCTAAAGCATTATATGTGTTCTCAGTTATTTTAGTTCTGTTGCATCGTTCATGAAATTTATTAAAGCACCAAATAAATACGAAATTTTCATGAAAATATTTTTTGTCACTGCTTACTCTCATTTGTGTTTCGCGAATTTTTATTAAATGTACCTGAAACTTCGCATTTTGACTGTTAGAATGATTGCGAGTCATGAAATGTTCTATTGAAGCTTTTGTTAACTTCACTTGGGTCACTGATAATTTCCAACAAAAGTCGAATACAGTAAATGTTTGTCGGTCAGCCTTTGGGAGACAGATATAAAGTAACCTCCATACACCTCAGTCACATCGTACAGGTTTCTCGTCTTTCAAATATAGCAAGTTACTTCCAAAAGGTAGATATTTTCATCTGTTTAGTCACTGAAGGAGTACTCTGTTCCTAAATAATTGCTTCATTTGAAGTCAGTAAACCAACTAACGCTTCTGGTTTTAAACTCTACCTGTCTTTTTCTATCTTATCTGTTTGAACGGTGTAAACTAATTTCATATCGGTTTGATTGCTCTGTACATATTCATTTTCTAGTATCATACTACTAGTTAGTTGTCGATTCTGCTCCAAATAATAGTTTTCCATGGTGAAAGAGATGGTTTAATAAAGCCTTCTGAAGTTTAAGTTTTGTTTGGAATATGTTTTCTTAATTAAAAATTTCTGTAAGCTGTCACCATGCTGACCAGCTATGATTAAACTTAACAGTAATCAAACTGCTTAGATTAATTGACTTCCCCTAGTTAACTCGAAGTTGATTAAACCCCTATTTACTGTATTGTGGAGAGCGTATTTTCATTCGGTCTTGCCGATACAATAAATAACTTAAGATGCAAAACTTCATGGTTACTAAATTTAACTTGCTTCAGAGAAAGCATTTTTGTTGATGGTGGTAAACTTGTCCTATTATACGAACAGTATTATTCGGCGTACCTATTCAAGCATCCACCTTATTTAACGATTATTCCAATTAATTGTAAAACATTTTGTCTTAGCATTGTTTCGATGGAATGTCATTGTTCAGGAAATAAAACCTGGTCTAATGTATCAAGTAAAGACGGAGATAATCACAATTTCAATAATATCCGTTGCTTACGCTATCTACGTTTTATAAACGCTTGTTCTGTATTTAAATTTACTTTCCCACTTGGCAATCCGACCCACTGATGAAATCTTGCTGCACGCTTCTTTCTAAAAATTACTTGTGCTACTTATATTTTAACAGTAGATTGAGACTTAACCCTAAACGATCCTAGTGTTTTAAGGTCATATAGAAATAATGAAGGATATCTTTCAGTTGCTTTTAACGATCCATGCTAGAATATAATTTCTGTCCCGTAAAATTGGTTTGGCACATATTGAGGATCTGAGTAAAATATAAAGCTTTTACTTATACACGGGTTTTAGTTAAAACCACTATTCAGAAATTATACTCTGAGGTATGTAGGGGCATAAACCCTTTACAAAAATATATGACTGCGGCTAATATATCTCTTTTTTCTTTGTATCCTATTCTCGTATATATGTTTTCTGGTAAAATTTTGGTCTATAATTTCCGTTTTCTTGCAGTCATCTACCATGGCAACAGACGAAGACTTATCATATTCTGACGATGCATTTGAAGGGGAAGACAAAGAAGATACAGATATGCTAAACTCAGCAGAAACTTACAACGACTATCATCAACAAATCCTTTTTTATCGCAACTTTGACTCAGTTTCAGGACGAAGTCTTCAAAGACCTAAAGTAGTAAAATGTAGACCTCTCAATATGATTTGCTTTTTTAGACAAGAAGAAGACGATGGACTCAGCGAGACATGACAAATGCGTACAACGCAGTCAAATATCAGGGAATGTCGCTTCGTGGGGCTGCAACAGCGTTTAATGTTCCTGAATCTACTCTTCGTGACAGAGTTCATGGAAGAGTCAGTTTAGAATGCTCTCGACCAGGCCCCCCAACATTTTTCACCTATGAAGAGGAAAAGAAAATGGTGGATCATATTTTATTCATGAGTAAAATCGGTTACCCATATACCCGAAATCAAGTATGTATACTGATACATATTTCTGTTCTTGTTGTATGGTTTATATCTAAAATTTCCTCAGTAGAATCTTGTATTGTAATAATTCATATATTACATTAGTTTGTTATAAATGTTGAGTTTGAGAAACTAGCGAATGGCTCACATTTTTAGGACAATTAAAATGTCAATAAACAGGTGAAATATAATGATACGATTTGGCTGGGTAGTAACTTTACGGTATCAATTTGTTAGTACGAATTTTTAAATGAACTGAGGTTGAAACCAAAACCGTCATCTAGAAGTATCAGTTATTCTTCACTAAATGGGATGCTTATTTGCAAAGTATTAAACACAAGATAAGAATGATGAAATGTAGTGTGAAGTTGAATTTTCGTAGGATACTCCTCAATTAATTAAGAACTGGCTGCAAGGTGTGATTGTTTCTCGTCATATCAACATAGGATAATCTACCTATATTTCGTAGTGATTCCTGAGACTTCCATGTCATATACGCCAAACCATCTACCTTGACACCCTAAGCTGGTTGGTACAGTGAGAAGTTTAATAAAAAAAGTCCAACATTGTTATGATATCAGCCATTGACTGTTGGTCAGAGTTTTATAGAAATTTGCAGGCTGCTTGGTTTATGTTTCGAGAAAGAAGAGCGATTATTTGTTGAAGAAATTGAATGTGATGTCCTAAAATCTGTGTAAATATATGCGGACTCTCCCCCCCCCTATGTCTTGAATGTATTGTCAGTCTTCATATTATATTCATTTTATATTGTTTGCTTTTGATATGTTGAATATGAACTAAGCCTGATAGTCAGGTCTTAATTTTATTGATACTTATATAACCTACGAAATTCCCACTTTCGCTTGTACGTTTTCAACGCATTGGTCCGCATAAAAATTTACTTAATTCAGAACTAGCATGTGTACATAGCTTTAGACTTTCCGTGATTGGTTTAGAAACATGATAGTTACCAATGGAGGTCATTTTTATGTACTTACTGTGATATGAAAATTATTACGCATTGGGATGATCGAAACGATCAAGATCAACCAGGACACTGACAGTTTGTTGGGATAGCTGAATCCTCAAAAACGATTGTTAATAAAGCTGTCATCTAAAATATTGGTTCATGTGTCAAAACATAACAAGCTTCTGTACTAATTAATAAACACCCTGAAGGGAAGTTCAGTTGATCTTTATTTTCTGATAGTCTAGTTACAAATTGAATAGATTATTAGTATTTATCATTTAGTACATCAGATTGGTCTCAATGGTTTCATGTCATTGCACATGCACCCGTTTTTTCTTGTGGCATGTTATACTCTGCGTATCCTTGGGGAGTTCTATAACACTGAAAAATCCATATACAGGCATTTTTTGTAGGTAGATTATAAACGTATAGTCACTTCTGTTTAAACGGGATTCCTTATTTCTCTTTTGTTATGCCATAATTTTCCGAAAAACTACAGAATAAAGTGTTTGATAGATAGGTGTGTAACCGTGTTATGTAACATAACTTCTCGACTTTGATGATTCAGACTACATCTCATTACTCAGTAACACTTAAAAATAATGGAGGACATAGTGCAGGCTTTTACCGGCACAATTTCCACAATGCATATCAACACAGCGGCAGATTACGTCAGTAAGTACACGGAAATGTTAATAAAAATGGTATTGGTAGGTTCACTAGACAAAGTACAATCCAGAAGTTAGTGGATGGTGTCGAATAGTTCTGTGTTAGAATTTCGAAAGATATTGAATGGATTTGTTTTGCAACAACATTTTACTTAAATTGTACTTAGTTAGCAATCACCTTTAAGTGTAGTATGTACTTGGAAAGCAAATTACTTTCAAGGGCCGATAGGAGCTTGTGGTTATATTAATGTTCTATAGTAAACTATCTTAATAATTCGGGGGTTTATGCCTCTGGGTATTTTATTTTACTCGAAGGACTTTACAAGACAAAATTCCCTATGTTTTGAAATCAAGACATGTATAACTTCAACCATCTTCACAATTTTGCCAAGTCAATCTAACTACAAATGAGTTACTGTTTTAATGTATGTAATTTTGTTCTACTGGCATGGGACACGACTTCCCTACGATGTCCGACGACTTTCGTTGTTTTAGTACTGATTTCCCCTAGTAATACCTGAATTTAACTGCGATACCGTAAAAAAATGTTGAGGGTTTGTGATTTTTTTAGTGTACTCTTGAGTCAGTTATTTAATTACTGAAGTTCTCTTTCAGACTACGTAGTGCAGCTTCCCAATGGCTTTTAAATGGTATACTGCTCACTAACACGTAACTGACTAATAAAAGTCAAGAGCTATCCGTCAATACTATTATACCCTGATGCGAAAATACTTGTGTCAATCTAATATCTCTCAGCTCCTTACGGTTTTTGGCTTAAGTTACATAAAACAACAAGACTATTATACGAAGTTCCATCAAAATATACTAGAATCAAAACTTATAGTGATCCTACTGTTGTATTCTTTTATTATCTTCATGGAGTAACGGCTTAGCAACCGCAAGATGTTTACTGGTTTTTCTAACTTTGATTACTTTTAATTACTTAGCGTTATGATCAGTCTTCCTAATCTACAATATATTGGCGACATTTTAATTTCATCTATCTTAAAAGCCCCGCTGCACCAAAATTCAGTATTCCAAAAATAACCTTGCTAATACCCATTTTAGTTTAAAGAATTAAGGGTATATATATATAGAGAGAGGGAGCTATTTTCGGCTGTAATTAGCTTGCTTCTTCCATTTGTACATTCGACACTGCCTATTAAAGTATCGTAATAACTAACATCTATTGTGCCTTCGATTTCCAGTTAAGACTTGTTGGGTTTGGTCAGAATTTTGATTTCTTTATTTTCACCACTCTATTAAGCGATTCTAACGACATTTATTGTTTCTTCATTAAGGTAGTCGAACTCGCCGGAGACATGACTAAAGCAGTTGGGCGGATCGCTCCATTTAAATACCTTAATCCAAGTCAGGCCTGGTTTTATGCTTTTCTCAATCGATGGCCAGACTTAAAGAATTTCTTGTTTGGACCTCGAAGTAATCGGAAGTCAAAGGGAGTTTCAGGTGATTCTATACAGTCTTATTTTGAACAGCTCGAAAAGGTATGTTTGAAGATTTTAAAATCTGATATTGTCGTTCTCTTGTTGTTTACTATACAGTGCTGCTCAGCACTCAATACATTACCTATGGTACATTTGTTTGTAAATAGGCACTAACCCCTTTAGGCCATGCCATATGACTTAACATCAACAATGAATCATGCTTTCTGTAATCTACGCTACATCGATATTTATAATAAAATATATCACCTGACTTCTTACTTAATCTCCTAAGGATGTCTAAAATCTTGTACTAACGATTCCTCTTACGACCATAAAGTGTAATTATGCCCCCTGCCAACGTTGTCAAACGAAATATGTTTTCGATATCACTGGTCTAACTAGGAACATTTTTATGACAATTTTTAGAGTCTGTTTCATTTAGAAAGACCTAAGTGCCAATGATGGTTTATTGAAGTATATTCTCGTATTCTATTTACCTTCAAAGCCTTATGGTCTATCAAAATATAAGTTACTATATAAAAAGTGTAAGATGTAAATAAGACTATTTATTTATTTATTTAAACACATATATATTGGTACAAAAGGGCACCAGGTAAATATGCGCCACACAAAATAATGAAAGTAGGAAGAGAAGGGATGAAAGATAAGACGGACTGAAATGTACAACCAGAAGACTCTTTCAGTTAGGAAAGTTAGAACCATTCTTTATGTAGAAAGTAAAAGAAGGTTGCAGCAGGATCGCCACTGGCTTCTATTCTGAGCCATATCTGATAACGTCTCTAGCCAATGTAATGCACCATCTCTCGGACCCCAACCAGGGAGTCGTGAAGGACCAACGGAAGCTAGGCCTTTGCAGCTTTCTTTCATGCCACGACACCATATCATACACTGACCTCCTCTCCGCTTTTTCCAACCAGTTCCAGGGTCGGCAAATAATGCACGACGCGGAAGTCTCTGGGACGACATTCGTAAAACATGTCCAAGCCACCGAAGTCGGTGTTTCAAGATGGTGACACCAACTGAATTATCGTCTCTGCGCCCGAACACACGATGCCGAACCTCTGCATTACTAACATGGTGTTGCCACTGGATGTCAGCAATCCTTCGGAGACAACGATGATCGAACACAGAGAGACGTCTAACATCCTCAACTCGGAGAGGCCAGGTTTCACAAGCATAGAGCAAAACTGCCCTCACCGACGCGTTGTAGATCCGACCTGTTTCAGCCAGACTAACATCACGAAGGCGCCAAAGATGGCCCAGATTGGCATAAGCCGCTCTGGCTTTCATTATACGTGCATCAATCTCATCACTCACGCCACCACCAGCACTTATATAGCTACCTAGATACACGAACTTCTCAACTACTTCGATCTCCTCACCATCCAGGGTGAGTACAGGATGAGAATCCTGCCAGTCTTGTAGGAGTACTTTGCACTTGGAGGGTGCAAAGCACATGCCGTACCTGCGGACACTGATTGCCAACTGATTAAGTGCTGATTGCATGCCTTGGGCATTATCGCACAGTAAGACAATATCATCCGCATACTCAAGGTGGAGAAGTCGTTCTCCAGGCAACATATCCACACCGCCATTACTTACATCCATCAGAGCTGTTTCCAGGATGTCGTCGATGGCAAAGTTGAAGAGGAATGGTGAGATCGGGCAACCCTGCCTAACCCCACTGCTCGAATGGAACAAGGGAGAAAGGTGGTTGTGTGCCCTCACTCTGCCTGAGGTGTTCGTATACAGGGCCTTTAAGATGTTAATGAACTTCTCAGGCACACCCTTCTTCAATAGACAATCCCAGAGAACAGTCCTGTCCAACGAATCGAAGGCCGCCCTGATATCAAGAAACACTACGATTGTTGGCCTGCGATAAGTATGACGGTGTTCTAACATTTGGCGGAGGGTGAAGATGTGATCAATGCATCCTCGACCAGAACGAAAACCAGCCTGCTCCTCGCGAGTCAATCGTTCTCGGGTTTTAAACAACCTACGAAGAATGATAGAAGCCAATAGTTTGGACGCGATCGAAAGTAGACTTATCCCCCGATAGTTATTGCAGGAACAACGTGAACCCTTTTTAAAGATAGGGACGACTATTGACTCATTCCAAGATGTTGGAACACTTTCTTGCTCCCAAACCTTTCCAAATAACGCAGTCAGTTCCTTAGCCAGAAAGTCACCACCATCTTTAAAAAGAGCCGGAGGTAAGTCATCTGTGCCAGGTGATTTGTAGAGCTTCAAGAGTTGGAGTTCCTTGCGGACTTCCGCCTCGTTTGGTGGATCAGTCGTCACCGGCCATGGGGAGCAGGACAAGCTGGTTGATGTTGCCGGAGCAGCAGGCCAGTTGAACTGCCCTTCGAAAAATTCCGCCCATCGTCCAAGACGTCGAGAGATGTTAGTGATTGGCATCCCGTCATCCTCGTAGATTGTTTCACTCACACCAGACTTCTTGCTGCCAGTGGCTCGGATGAGTTGGAAGAGCTTCCGGCAGTTACCAGATGCAGCTGCTGCTTCCATCTCATTAGCACGCTCCGACCACCAGGCTTCCCGGTCCTTACGCAAGCTTTGCCCGATTTCACTACGTAACAGCCTTCGTTTGTGGTCAAACTCACGGTCACCCGGAGTAGACTGACGGGCTTCCATCAGTTGTGAGGAGCCAGAAGAAACCCAGTGCTTGTAAGTAGGACGTTTCGTGAAGCCGCAAGCAGCTTTACTCGCCATTTTCATGGCGTCATGAAGATGCAACCAATGCTCATCTATACTTTTCGGTGGGGTGGTAGCTAGCCTAGAGGCTAGCTCCGCTCGATACTTACTTACAATAGATGTTGCAGCCAGTTTGCTAACATCGATCCGTTGGTGGTGGTCAATCCTTCGGCCACTGAAAAGTAAGGTGAGATTGGCGCAGACCAGGGCATGATCAGACTCCAGATAGGTACTCCAAAAGGAGCGGCAGTCTTGTACACAACCACGCCAGCGGTAGCTGATCGCGATGTGATCAATCTGAGTCCAGGCTTGGGATGCAGAGGGAGGACGCCAGGTGGCACACCGGCGATGACTGTGCCGGAAGTTAGTGCTGGCCAGAAACAGGTTGTGGTCTGTGCACAGTTGCAGCAAACGGTCCCCGTTATCTGTCCGGCGACCAACAAGTCCCCATCGGCCACCTAGACGACTCTCTTCTGTGCCTAGACGCCCGACCTGTGCATTCAAGTCTCCGGCTAGTACTACAATATCTGTCGAACGCGCTTTCTGGAGAAGAACTGTTAACTGATGGTAAAACTCATCCTTGATTGCATCCGGGCTGCAATCTGTCGGGGCATAGGCGGAGATGACGAAAAGACACCGTTTCTCACGCCGATTTCTTCTCACTTTGATGGAACTTTCTAATCTAACAGCACATAACCGACTGTTAATGGGGATCCAATCGATTAGTGCTGCCTCAGCCCTAGCGCTTAGTGCGACACCAACGCCAGCAAGACCAGACGAAGATGCCACAGGGTCCCCGGATAAGCGCACGTGGAACAAGTTTTTCGAGGCGACAGATGGAGAGCGGATTTGTAGTACTTCACTAGAGTCTTGAATACGGGTCTCGGATAGACAACAAACGTCAACATTAAGACCTTCCAAAGATATAGCCAGCCCTATCTGTTGTCTGATCTGCATTAGTGTGCGAACGTTGAAGGAAGCCAGCTTGAACGGCGTACGTGGTTTCAGAAAGACTGCTTCAGTATTCATAATCGGTGGAAGCATTCACTTTCAACCAGACAGTGACTGGAGATCGTTTAGATAGGACAGAGTTTCCACCATGGGCGAGCTGCTGCATAAGTTGAAAAGTAAGGTTACACAAATTGGGGATAAAAGGGGGTGAGTTAGCGATATGGTAAATAATAACAATAATAATAATGTTAATTGTCTTGCTTTTAGTATGAGCAGGGATAGTATCGTCAATAGAGTTCATCACTTCATTCATTTGTGTGTGGGCTGTGATACTGCCCGGGTGCCCAAACCGAAGCAGGTGGTTTTCTTAGGGGACCACACCCCGAGCCTTTGACCTAAAGGTCTGATCCACAAGGCAGTGGAGCATCGTGAGGAGATGCAGTCCCATGGTAGCCGTTGACCAACAGCAGGTTCTTCCGCCATTCGTTCCATCAGGATACTGGAGCCCATGTGCACCATTGGTTTGGAATCAGGGTTTTCCAACTCCCCTAGGTGGACCCTCCGTGTCCACCAATCCGGTTATAGCGCCGGACATTCGCTTTTCGTCCTCTCACTGTCGTAAACAACACCCCCGCCACGAGAAGGCAGTGAGTAGGACTTCCCTGGTAGAGGCTATATATTCGCTGGCCATGTGAGAGTATTTTGAGAGGGAGAGTAGACTCTCCCCACTCTCGGCCGTACCAGGGCATTCGGGGGCAATACATTTGTCAGTATAATGTAAATTTCCTAATCAGCCAGCTTATTATCACGTTTTGATGATTTCGTTCATTTCATTCTGTCAAGGCGGTATGGCAACCTGAGTCAACATACACTTGTGGCAGGCTCTGTGGCGATAATAAGTGACTGACTCAACTTTTAAATATTTTTGCGTTTTCAATCTTCGAACTACTTTCCAATAGCTCTTACAAGTTAATTTTTTAAGATTAACAATCTATAAGCAAATAAATCGTTTTCAGTGACAGATTTCTTTTCCCTTTAATTAATAAATTGAGTACTAGTAACACCGTTACTGTATGCACTCCATTACACACAACCATCTTTTAAAATAATACGTAATTCATTTTTATTAAATGTTCCAAATAGTAATTTGGTGATAATTTTCATCGTGAATATAAGTTATTTAGAAAGATGTACTGTAATTTGGACATGACACGATTGTTGCTTCGATCTATTTTCAAATGCAACAATAAACATGTTTCACTTATTCGATGATTGCATTGTCTTTTACAACTGTCATTTTGATGATTTTATAGGTTCTAAATAAATATGGTATCAAAGACAGGGCCGAACATTTTTGGATTGTTGACGAAGTAAGCATAAGTTGCGAGAACCAACCCCCACGTATTCTTCCTATCAGTATACAACGGGCTCAGTCTGTAAGCTATTGGAATCCAACTGTTGCAATGCTTGGAGCCGCTAACGGTGTTGGTGAAAAAATTCCTCCTTTCCTTATTTATCGAGGCGATGGGATAACATGTAGGTATTTGTAAAAAGAAAGATTGGTTTTCGTGTATCATATGATACAGGTTTTTTCTCTTCTAATCATTTTATAACCATCTAAAGTTCATAAGTTCATATCCTTTAAAGTAGGTGTTTGCTTCAAACATGTGCTTGCATTCTTCAGTCGTTTCTTATTCGCTATAGAATAAGTTAATTGATAACTTCCTAAAATATTTTTTTACTGAAACATTGCACTTTTAAGGTCCTTGATCGCGACATATAATTTGTGCATTCTTTAAAAAGTATTCCCTGTACTCCAAAATCCATAAGTTGTTTGACTAATTCAATATGTCACTGTTGATATGTTTTACATAAATCAAACACCTAATCACTATGTCGTTCAAATAAGTGTTTGCCCTCATTGCACACAGCCACGACCGATTAAATGTTAAATTCATGTTCTCATTTCTAATCCGTTTGCTTTTATTCGTTCAATGTTTGCTCACCAAACTTGATTAAACATCAAATTCATATAAAATCTCAATTTCAAATACGTCTAGGATATTAGTTTCATTGTTAAAATCTGTTTATCTTTCTGGTTAATGAAAACTAAAGCTTGGAATCGTTCTGTGTAATAAACAATTAACTTTAATACTGTCCTTACTAACGTTATCCTACTAAAAGCTGAATTAGAGAAATGAATCATCTTAGTAATGTCTTGAATTCGACCAACATTCAATCGACGATAAATTTTGTCATCCTCCGGATAACTTTCCTGAAGTACGTTTGACAGACATGCTGGAATGTAATAATTCTGCATCTTATTTATTGAAGGATGATCAGCAAGTTGTTTGTCACCAAATTGAGAAGTTAGCTTGAGTGCAGTAACATATAGAATAGTAGTATTTACAGAGCCTGCTCTGATTGTAACTGAGTGCTGCGAGTGATTAAATTCCTCGAAAACCGCCTATTCATTTTATTTTTTATCTCGTTTCTTATTAATTCGACCTTCCATTTTTTTCACATCGAAATTCCTCACTTTTAGAGATGCTGCAAATATAGTCATACAAAATAGCCACTTGTGAAAAACAATCATTTCCAGTCTCTCCCAATACATATTCCATGATAGATTTGTCTCTTAGATTAGCTGGATCTAAATGGAGGTTAAGGGGAGTATTGTACGCACTGTATCCAAACGGAGTTGATAGTTTCTCAGTATAAGCATGTTGTATCTCTACGCTAGTCTGAGCCATACTTATTACTTGGGGGGACTCAATATATTAGCCAGTATTTACGATGTTATGTTGTAATGTCATTTATACATAGCCATTATGTAGACGTAAATTCACAGAACCGTTGGTTTGCATTTCATAAAGTCACTGATATATTTATAAATGGTGTTCATTGATTTATGTCTCGGTGAATTTACTTACCTTCAGTAATTGACCCTTGTTTGTAATCGTTTAACATGTCTAATTATTATTGTTACTTTTCAACAAATAAGTCACTTTTCAATTAAGTAGATAACCAGATTTTTATATTGCTCGAACTTATCACGTGAAGCTATTTTTTTGAAATATTTAATTTTAATTTCCAAGACTGGGTTTTCATAACAATTCATTTTTATCTTTCAGCATCTATGATGGAAGGATCCGTACGAGGGACTAAATTTTCATATTCAGCTTCCGGTTGGGTTAATTCTGATGCTTTTATTCAATGGTTTCTTAAACATTTCCGTGTATTAGTATCTGTTCGACCGCTTATATTGTTTTACGACGGTCATTTACAATTTGTCAGTGTACGTGTATTAGAACGCGCTCGTGAAGACGGCGTTTTCCTGTTTCCACTCCCTCCTCATCCAGCTTATAATCATTGCGTAGAAAATACATGTTTCTGGGCATTTCAGGTAGATCAATATTATTGACATTATCGTCGCTGTTTATAATACTAGTTAGTACTTTTCCATTCAATATATTATTGTTTCTTATCAAATATATTCAATGTAAGAACCTGAAATCTTTTAGTGTTCTCAGATTTTTTCTGTTCTAACCAATAAATAATCAGGTCAACAATATTAAACCGTTTATTAAATAAGAATATTTAGTACATGATAAATGATAATATAGTTTATAGGCTACATTGCACTGTCGCGTATATTTTTAGATTTCACATTAGAGTGTATTTTTGTCTTCTCTTAAAATCTTTCTGTAATTGGTTATGAAAGGTTAAATGTCCTCATCTGATGGTTTACTGTCTCATTGAAAATACCTACTCCTTAAAAAAACTTATGCACACGTTGTTATATAAAATTTGAAGTACGTCAATCCTATTCTATTTAAAACAATCCCCACCTGTGACAATACACTTGATTGCTTCAGTGAAAAACTTTCCTAGAAGTTCTCAAAAGTTGGACACTTCAACTACCTTGTCGCTTCATGTTTCTCTGAATCTTTAGCCAGAATCATGTGCATAGATTTCCCCAAATTCAATTCATTGACAATCAATGTGTTGTCCCTATAAATAATTGTCGAAATTTTATGCATTTCTAGAGAGTTTTTTCCAAATCTTATCAAGATTTTTTATTTAGTCTTGCATTTATATATATATATATATATTTCTTACGCCTCTTACCCCCGATGGAACATAGGCCGCCGATCAGCATTTTCCAACTCACTCTGTTCCCTTTTAATTCTATCCAGTTTTTGTTCATTCTTCTCATTTCTCGGCATGATGTATTCTGTGGTTTTCCTCTTTTCTTTGACCTTCAGAATTCCATGTGAGGGCTTGCCTTGTGACGCAGGTGGGTGATTTTCTCAATGTGTGTCCTATCCACTTCCAGCGCTTCTTCCTGATTTCTTCCTCTACTGAAATCTGGTTTGTTCTCTCTCACAGTAGCTTGTTGCTGATAGTGTCTGGCGAACGGATATTGAGTATCTTGCGTAGACGACTTGTATCTTCTGCATGATGGCTTTCGTAGTTCTCCAAGTTTCCGCCCCATACAGCAGAATTGTCTTAACGTTTGTATTGAAAATTCTGACTTTGGTGTTGGTTGACAATTGTTTTGAGTTCCAGATGTTCTTCGTTTGTATATATGCTTCTCTTGCCTTGCCGATCCTCGCCCTCACATCTGCATCTGATCCATCGTGTTCTTCAATGATGCTGCCCAGATATGTAAAGGTTTGTACATCCTTCAAAGCTTCTCCGTCAAGTTTAATTTGATTGGTGCATGTTGTATTGTATCGGAGAGTCTTGCTTTTCCCTATGTTTATATTGAGTCCTGCTGCTGCTGCTGAGGCTGCTTCTACACTGGTCGTTTTCTCCTGCATTTGTTGTTGCGTGGGTGATAGGAGAGCCAGATCATCTGCGAAGTCTAGATCGTCCAGCTGCATCCTTGCTGTCGATTGTATCCAGTGCTTCCCTCCAGATGTTGACGTCTTCATAATCCAGTTGATCATCAGGAGAAAGAGAAAGGGTGAGGGTTAGCAACCTTACCTAACACCGGCCTTTACTTTGAACGGGTCAGTGAGTTGTCCTCCATGAACGATTTTGCATGTCGAAGAAGCCTCGCTTAGTGTTGTCCTGTCCACACTATCAAATGCTTTCTCGTAATCAATGAAGTTGATGTAGAGTGATGAATTCCATTCAATTGATTGTTCCACAATGATCCACAGTGTTGCGATTTGGTCTGCACACGATCGATCCTTACGCAATCCAGCCTGTTGATCTCGAAGTTGTGCGTCTACAGAGTCCCTCATTCTGTTAAACAATACCCTGTTAGAGACTTTTCCTTGTATTGAGAGAAGAGTGATGCCCCTGTAGTTATCACACTTGCTGAGATCGCCTTTCTTTAGTAATTTGATCAGAACTCCTTCTTTACAGTCTGTTGGTACTTGTTCTTCAACCCAAATCTTACTGAAGAGAATGTGGAGCATCTTTACAGTTGCTGCTACATTTACTTTCAGTGCCTCTGCTGGAATGTTGTGTGGTCCTGCTGCTTTGCCGCTCTTGATTTGTCTGATGGCCATGCTGACCTCTTCAATTGTTGGTGGATGGGCCAACATCGATTGGGAGGTGCATGGGTGCCGCTTCGATGTTGGGTGTGTTCAGTGGAGCTGGTCTATTCAAGAGTTATTTGAAGTGTTCTACCCACCTGTTTCGTTGTTCTTCACTGTTGGTGATTACATTGCCTTCCTTGCTTTTCACTGGTCGTCCTGGTTTACGGTAGTTTCCAGCGAGTTTCTTTGTTGTATCATACAATTGTCTCATGCTTCCTTCTCTTCCAGCCTTTTCCGTTGTCATCGCTAAATCTTCCAGATATTTACGTTTGTCGATTCTGATACTCCTCTTCACTTGCTTGTTTACTTCTGTGTATTCGGCTTGTGCCTTGGCTTTTTCTGCTCTTGTTCGGTTGATATTGATTGTCGCCTTCTTGTTCTCCTTTTCTTGAATCTTTTCCAGTGTACCAACAGTGATCCATTCCTTGTTTTGGTGATTTGTGTGGCCAAGAACCCCATGACATGTTGAAATGATTGCCTCCTTGATCACTTTCCAGTTGCTCTCCATAGTTGTTCCCTCTCCATTGAGTAGATCATGAAATGCCTGTAACTTATTGTTAAGGGATATCTTGAATTTATTGAGTTTGTCAGTATCTCGAAGAAAGGCATTATTAAACCTTTGTGATGTTGTCCGCGCCGTTGTCCAGTGCTTCTTAAGTCTTAATTTCATCTTGGGGACCAGCAGGTGATGATCTGATGCTATATCAGCTCCTCTCCTGGTTCTCACATCCTCTATCGTCCTCCTAAACTTTTTGTTGATACAGATATGGTCGATTTGGTTCTGGGTAGTGTGGTCCGTTGAAGTCCACGTGGTTTTGTGAATGCGTTTGTGTGGGAATATAGACATTTTGCAAATTAGGTATTTTATAAATGGTTCTCAGATTTTACTAAAACATTCTGTAGTTTTGTGTTCAAATACATTAGATTGTCCCTACTTGTGTTCTCGTTCACTACACCTTTACTTTTTTGATGATGGCTGTGGTAGTTCTCCAAGCTTCATCCCCGTACAGTAGAACTTAGACATATCTAATATCATTTTATACTTGCTAATTTGAATCATCTATAACAATTATGAAAAAGCGGTCGAGTGTATGTCACTGAGACATACATATTAGTTGAATTTATCCAATATAAAAACATGGCGATTTGTTGGAAATTGTATCTTAAGTATTTTTGGCGCATAATTAAAAATATCAAAAGGATAATGTTGAATTCAGGCTCAGTCCTGTGCTATAAATGTCATAAAAATTAAATATCATATGACATGGTATATAATATTTATTTTATTTATTTATTTAAACACATATATATTGGTACAAAAGGGCACCAGGTACATATGCGCCACACAAAATAATGAAAGTAGGTAGATAAAGGATGAAAAGATAAGGCGGGCTGAAATGTACAACCAGAAGATTCTTTCAGTTAGGAAAGTTAGAACCATTCTTTATGTAGAAAGTAAAAGAAGGTTGCAGCAGGATCGCCACTGGCTTCTATTCTGAGCCATATCTGATAACGTCTCTAGCCAATGTAATGCACCATCTCTCGGACCCCAACCAGGGAGTCGTGAAGGACCAACGGAAGCTAGGCCTTTGCAGCTTTCTTTCATGCCACGACACCATGTCATACACTGACCTCCTCTCCGCTTTTTCCAACCAGTTCCAGGGTCGGCAAATAATGCACGACGCGGAAGTCTCTGGGACGACATTCGTAAAACATGTCCAAGCCACCGAAGTCGGTGTTTCAAGATGGTGACACCAACTGAATTATCGTCTCTGCGCCCGAACACACGATGCCGAACCTCTGCATTACTAACATGGTGTTGCCACTGGATGTCAGCAATCCTTCGGAGACAACGATGATCGAACACAGAGAGACGTCTAACATCCTCAACTCGGAGAGGCCAGGTTTCACAAGCATAGAGCAAAACTGCTCTCACCGACGCGTTGTAGATCCGACCTTTTACAGCCAGACTAACATCACGAAGGCGCCAAAGATGGCCCAGATTGGCATAAGCCGCTCTGGCATTCATTATACGTGCATCAATCTCATCACTCACGCCACCACCAGCACTTATATAGCTACCTAGATACACGAACTTCTCAACTACTTCGATCTGCTCACCATACAAGGTGAGTACAGGATGAGAATCCTGCCAGTCTTGTAGAAGTACTTTGCACTTGGAGGGTGCAAAGCACATGCCGTACCTGCGGACACTGATTGCCAACTGATTAAGTGCTGATTGCATGCCTTGGGCATTATCGCACAGTAAGACAATATCATCCGCATACTCAAGGTGGAGAAGTCGTTCTCCAGGCAACATATCCACACCGCCATTACTTACATCCATCAGAGCTGTTTCCAGGATGTCGTCGATGGCAAAGTTGAAGAGGAATGGTGAGATCGGGCAACCCTGCCTAACCCCACTGCTCGAATGGAACAAGGGAGAAAGGTGGTTGTGTGCCCTCACTCTGCCTGAGGTGTTCGTATACAGGGCCTTTAAGATGTTAATGAACTTCTCAGGCACACCCTTCTTCAATAGACAATCCCAGAGAACAGTCCTGTCCAACGAATCGAAGGCCGCCCTGATATCAAGAAACACTACGATTGTTGGCCTGCGATAAGTATGACGGTGTTCTAACATTTGGCGGAGGGTGAAGATGTGATCAATGCATCCTCGACCAGAACGAAAACCAGCCTGCTCCTCGCGAGTCAATCGTTCTCGGGTTTTAAACAACCTACGAAGAATGATAGAAGCCAATAGTTTGGACGCGATCGAAAGTAGACTTATCCCCCGATAGTTATTGCAGGAACAACGTGAACCCTTTTTAAAGATAGGGACGACTATTGACTCATTCCAAGATGTTGGAACACTTTCTTGCTCCCAAACCTTTCCAAACAACGCAGTCAGTTCCTTAGCCAGAAAGTCACCACCATCTTTAAAAAGAGCCGGAGGTAAGTCATCTGTGCCAGGTGATTTGTAGAGCTTCAAGAGTTGGAGTTCCTTGCGGACTTCCGCCTCGTTTGGTGGATCAGTCGTCACCGGCCATGGGGAGCAGGACAAGCTGGTTGATGTTGCCGGAGCAGCAGGCCAGTTGAACTGCCCTTCGAAAAATTCCGCCCATCGTCCAAGACGTCGAGAGATGTTAGTGATTGGCATCCCGTCATCCTCGTAGATTGTTTCACTCACACCAGACTTCTTGCTGCCAGTGGCTCGGATGAGTTGGAAGAGCTTCCGGCAGTTACCAGATGCAGCTGCTGCTTCCATCTCATTAGCACGCTCCGACCACCAGGCTTCCCGGTCCTTACGCAAGCTTTGCCCGATTTCACTACGTAACAGCCTTCGTTTGTGGTCAAACTCACGGTCACCCGGAGTAGACTGACGGGCTTCCATCAGTTGTGAGGAGCCAGAAGAAACCCAGTGCTTGTAAGTAGGACGTTTCGTGAAGCCGCAAGCAGCTTTACTCGCCATTTTCATGGCGTCATGAAGATGCAACCAATGCTCATCTATACTTTTCGGTGGGGTGGTAGCTAGCCTAGAGGCTAGCTCCGCTCGATACTTACTTACAATAGATGTTGCAGCCAGTTTGCTAACATCGATCCGTTGGTGGTGGTCAATCCTTCGGCCACTGAAAAGTAAGGTGAGATTGGCGCAGACCAGGGCATGATCAGACTCCAGATAGGTACTCCAAAAGGAGCGGCAGTCTTGTACACAACCACGCCAGCGGTAGCTGATCGCGATGTGATCAATCTGAGTCCAGGCTTGGGATGCAGAGGGAGGACGCCAGGTGGCACACCGGCGATGACTGTGCCGGAAGTTAGTGCTGGCCAGAAACAGGTTGTGGTCTGTGCACAGTTGCAGCAAACGGTCCCCGTTATCTGTCCGGCGACCAACAAGTCCCCATCGGCCACCTAGACGACTCTCTTCTGTGCCTAGACGCCCGACCTGTGCATTCAAGTCTCCGGCTAGTACTACAATATCTGTCGAACGCGCTTTCTGGAGAAGAACTGTTAACTGATGGTAAAACTCATCCTTGATTGCATCCGGGCTGCAATCTGTCGGGGCATAGGCGGAGATGACGAAAAGACACCGTTTCTCACGCCGATTTCTTCTCACTTTGATGGAACTTTCTAATCTAACAGCACATAACCGACTGTTAATGGGGATCCAATCGATTAGTGCTGCCTCAGCCCTAGCGCTTAGTGCGACACCAACGCCAGCAAGACCAGACGAAGATGCCACAGGGTCCCCGGATAAGCGCACGTGGAACAAGTTTTTCGAGGCGACAGATGGAGAGCGGATTTGTAGTACTTCACTAGAGTCTTGAATACGGGTCTCGGATAGACAACAAACGTCAACATTAAGACCTTCCAAAGATATAGCCAGCCCTATCTGTTGTCTGATCTGCATTAGTGTGCGAACGTTGAAGGAAGCCAGCTTGAACGGCGTACGTGGTTTCAGAAAGACTGCTTCAGTATTCATAATCGGTGGAAGCATTCACTTTCAACCAGACAGTGACTGGAGATCGTTTAGATAAGACAGATTTTCCACCAAGAGCGAGCTGCTGCATAAGTTGAAGAGTAAGGTTACACAAATTGGGGATAAAAGGGGGTGAATTAGCGATATGGTAAGTAATAATAATAATAATAATAATAATAATAATAATAATAAAGGTAATAATAATAATAATGTTAGTTGTCTTGCTTTTAGTATGACCAGGGATATCGTCAATAGAGTTCATAATTTCATTCATTTGTTTGTGTGTGGGCTGTGATACTGCCCGGGTGCCCAAACCGAAGCAGGTGGTTTTCTTAGGGGACCACACCCCGAGCCTTTGACCAAAAGGTCTGATCCACAAGGCAGTGGAGCATCGTGAGGAGATGCAGTCCCATGGTTGCCGTTGACCAACAGCAGGTTCTTCTGCCATTCGTTCCATCAGGATACTGGAGCCCATGTGCACCATTGGTTTGGAATCAGGGTTTTCCAACTCCCCTAGGTGGACCCTCCGTGTCCACCAATCCGGTTATAGCGCCGGACATTCGCTTTTCGTCCTCTCACTTTCGTAAACAACACCCCCGCCACGAGAAGGCAGTGAGTAGGACTTCCCTGGTAGAGGCTATATATTCGCTGGCCATGTGAGAGTATTTTGAGAGGGAGAGTAGACTCTCCCCACTCTCGGCCGTACCAGGGCATTTGGGGGCATTTGGGTATATAATATGAAGAATGGTAGTTAACTCAATCCGTGTATATATGGATTCTATCTTTAAAAAAGAATGTAAATTGCACAAATGGACTCATTTCTTAATGTTGCTATATCCATGTTCTTTTTCATATTGGTTTACAGTAATATTTCACACCTCTGTTTAGTTTTTCAGTGAATTTAAAAATTATGACTTCTGCCATGTGGGTATAATACTTTTTGTACTTTTTATTTGAACAATTTTAAATGCGATGTATTGTTTTTATGCACACTGAACAATTAGTAGTTATCAGTGTATGCTTCATTTCCTTAGGTTTTACCGAACTATTTAGTTGATATATTCGTTCATTATTGTTATTTTGTTTGTTGTTTGTACTTTTCATTGTATTGTACATCTATTATGTATTATGTAAAAATATTATTTTTCACGGTACTTTATATTAATGCTATTAATCACTTTAGTTTTTTTATACCCTGTAGTTTTCAATATTTACACTAATTTTATTATTGAAGGGTTATTTCAAAAAACGTTTGGATCGCTTTTTTGAACAAAATCCTAACCAACCACTTTTACGTAATAACGCTTCACCTATATTGACTCATGCTTATGAAAAAGCTTTACAACCAAACAATATGATTAGTTTGTTTGAAAGATTGGGAATTTGTCCATTTAACAATTTATCCTCATCAATTGGCGCCTATTTGAACATGGTATGTTTTCATTAGTTATTTAAATGATTGATCTTCTCAAACTATAAATGTATCTTAAAGAAAAAGATTAGCGTTTTTTAATTAAATATCAGCTCATTTTAGCGTTATCCATTGGAGATTGAGCAAGCTTTGCTGATTCACTGTATCATATATACTCAGTCACTTGTACTACAAAATAATAAGTCGAAATATAAACTTATTATTTGGTATTCGGTTGTATTTTTAGCAATTTAATTACCCTTGATTTTCATTTCATAAGTGATAGTTATTATGACCAATAAATAGTTATATTTATAAAATAGATGCTCAAATGAGTGTGTGCGTATATGTGTGTGTTCTAAATTTAGCTTTCTGGGGAACTCGTCTTTGTGAAACTCCTTATTTTATCTATTATCATATTCCTGTACTATAAAATGATGATCAAAATATTTTAAATAACCTACGTTTTGGTCAAATTTAAGTTAAAGGCATGGTACTATAGCGATGACAACGTACTTCTGTGTTCCGTAAACTTCACTTTCAGTTTAGCTGAATAATATTCAATTAGTCAGTCTATTAAACGCTATTCGGGATCGGCTATCAACCCTTACTGCTCAAGTATTGACTATCGGAATTCATTATTGCAATAAAAAGTGGTCAAACTATAGGATCGAATCTATGTGAAATACACAGTCTCATTGAAATTCCAATCAATGCGGCTTAAAAGTTGGATATGATTTCCCGTGAATTTTATTGATACACAAAGTGTTAATATTTCGACCCAAGAAAACATAATATGTTTAATCCTATTACCTCTAGGTCACCATAAAATAACGGAGACACATCGTTTTGTTCATTTGTTGGTTCTTTCTTAATTGTTTAGCATTATCTTTCTATTAAAATTATATACATCTTTAATCTCACACACTTATTTGTCTTTATCTTGATGAATAACTGACAACTAGTTATGTGTACCGTAGTATACTTTCATATTTCACTGTAGCTAGAGTTTATAATTTCACATTTCGGGTTATGAATCAATCGTTTTCTGTTTCTAATCTGTGAAGTAAAAAATAATTTGTCTCATTATTTTATCTTTTAAGCAGACAGAAGATTATGAACAAAGTAGTTTGGCTGTAGAAAATGTGGATCCATATCTAGTTAATGAAATGGTGAATCCTTATAATCAGTTGTCTAAACTAGGATGTGCATCAAACTACCTCAATTATGTTAATCCAAATGGCGATTCAAAAGACCATACAATCAATTTCTCGAATGATTCTCATCATCCAGGTGGAGTTGTCACTAAATTAACTACGTATGTAACTGATACTACTGAAAGTAAGTATCATTTTTTGTACCAGTTTTTTATTCTGCATGTTTCAACCTGTATAGGCGAACAAAACAAAAGAACATAGTCATCCAGTCGAAGAAATTACACAGACGATGCAAAATTCACTATTCTTAATAGAAATACATATGTTTTCGATATAAAGTGAAATTTTGGTCTAAAATTAGTAACTCTTTTAGACATGACTATGGGTTATATCGGTAATAATTTTCAAATTGATTGCTCTTACTGCTCTAAGATTTTCATACTGCAAATTTACGTGCCTCCTCAAAACTCATGCGATGTAATGATCTATTAAACTATCTTAATAAATATGAACCTCGACAATTTGCCAATCATCTACCTCATCTGTATTACTATTTCAAATATATAGCCCAGTACCACACATAAAAATAGACTCAGTATTTCATCAAATTACTTATAACATGTTCTTTAAATACATGGTGCATATCTCAATATTTTGCTTATGGCTGTCTTGTTGAATCATCTAGTATTTCCTTAGAATGTTCCTACGTTTCTCATTTGGTGATTAAACGTTTAAGCACTGTAGTTAAAATTTCGTATAATTATAGCTTGGTCATTTTTACTGATACAACAAAAACCCTGTTATCTATGTATGGAATACTTAATCTCTTGAATGAAAACAATGTACCAAGAATCGTTTCGGAAATCTACTTCATTTTAGTAATTTAGTGAAATTCGGTCTTACTGTTTTATCAGTTAAAAATGAAGTTAATACAAAAAACTCATAACTGTCGTTTTAGTGTTAATTATCTCACACGTTACTTTGAAACGATTATCAGTTGCTTATTTTCTTTTGTAGCTTGCATCATGTTACTGATGTGACTTTTGTCATTAAGATACAAATCTAGGTATTTTGAAGTTGGTGTTTCAACTGATCAGCTAAGTTTTCTTTCGTGTATGCCTTTTTGGGAAATAACTTCATATTTTGCACTCGTGTTACTGCCCTTTGTGTTGACGCGTATTTTTTTGGTCTGTATTTTTCGAATTCATCTGCCTGATTAGTCTTTTCTACCAGCAGTTCTTCAATGTACTTGGGTTTATTTAATCGAACTCTGCCTTGTGAACTTTTATTGGAACAAATTAGTATATTTTGTCATAATAATATATGATTTACTTACAACGCCGAAAGCTCTTGTTGTTGTTTACATACAAATAATAATTATATGAATTACAGGTTTTTAATTATAATCTTCTTAACTTATTAGGTGGTCTAGCTTCAATTGACTCACGATTTCAACTTTGAAAATACTAAATTCTCCACAAAACCCCCTCTGATTTATTAGGAAACAATGAGTTTTCTTACTATAAACCTTTGGTGATTTTAATTTCTTTCGTCATATAAATAATATCAAGATATATTCTTCATTCATAACCATTATCCCTACATATCATAAAGTGTTGATTGTTTCTTCTACCTTTAATTCATCATCACAATAAAAATAGCTTTTAAAAAAGTAATTTCATTTCAAAAAGCCCAGTGTTGATGCATGGTATTTTTCAGATTACTCCATCCCAGGTAAATTCTGCTAGATCGCCCTCAGAGTCTACTTTATCGTACTTTAATTATATATTTACTTAATGCTTTATTCCGACTGATGTCATCTGTAATTTGACCCGTTATATATATAAAGAGAAATCTATGTATATTGTATTTATTTACTGTATTTATTATAAATGGACTGACAATAAATGGAATATTTTTTTTGTCTCATAACCTTCTTGTACTGTATTTTAGAAAGTAAAACCCATCTTTTTATTATTTACACAGATCCCTTAACTTCCAATTCCACTGTAGTGAATTCCAAACCGACTGCAACTGTTCTTACTTCCCATGAAAACACATTTAAAACTCAGCATACTGTTTTAACACAGTTTTCTTCTTCAGGGAGATCAGTTACTATACGTTTGCATGGTCCTGCAGCAAGTGCTATTCAACCTGTTTCTTTACATGTAAGTGAAGTGTCATTGAATAATAATGGTATTGTTTGCGAAATACTATGCTTGCACTGATACGTACATTAAAAAAACAGTATAATCTTTCATAGATTAATTATTTTCCCCGACAGTAATCGACTGAAATTGTGTGCTTTTTTCAAGGAACTTTATATCTAGTAGATGATGTATGTCTCAGTGATTTAAATTATAGTCTTCCAGCTAAGAAGATACGATCCTTCATCTCATTCTACATTCTTCGGTTTGTTAGTTGGTTAGTGTCTGTAATTCCTTACATAAATGTGATTCACTGTCATGTAAATAAGGTTTACCACTGGGTATTTTATTATTGTACCTAATGAGTCTATCAATTAATATATTCCATACCATGCAGCGACTAGATTTTAGACTATATTTCTCGATTCCAAAACATATAATATGCATAGTTGTCGTGTTTTAGTACTTTTACGCTTGTTTGTTATAATGAAATACTACTAATATTTTGTCAATACTTTAGGAAGAATTTTCATTTCATCAGACCAAAGATCCTCCGTCATTTGACGTTTTAGCCAGTTCAGATGTGGATATTTCGCATGAAGAAGAAGTTGACTGTGAAGTTTCTAATTCTCAACTAACACAATGTGAAACATCTGGTCAGACTAGTCAGTATTTCCAGGCATCTGAAACAGAAAGTGGTCATGGTCCAGTGAACGGTGGAATTATTGAAAGTATTGATGGAGTGGAAGATGGTGAAGCACTTGACTTTTGTGTTGTTTGTGGTCAGTTAGAACCTCCAGAGTTATCTTGTCAACCAATTTCTGATCAGGCTAATGCAGATGATTTACAGGTAACAGATATATATGTTACACTTTTAAAATACAATAGGCAAAGTAGTATTTTAAAGTGAAATGTTTGTTTAGGTACTGTTAGTTCATATTACAAAATATTAAAGTTTCCATCATTCTAATTTTTATCATCGATAAAAGATTATGTATGTTTATAACTATTATATTAATCGTCACGGAAGTCATCTCAATCAATTAGGAATTATTTGTTCTATTGAGATTGTTCTATCATGTTTCATCGGTAATAACCCTGATGGAAATTTAACTCTCTTAGTTTCTTTTTCAACTTATTCTGAAATGCTGGTTGTAACAATACCATTCATATGCTTTTTTACAAGATACTTCAAAATAAATTTATCAAAAATGAACTAATAACTTTTTATCGTACATCCTTAATATAACAATTAACTTTAAATTTATTTTGCACTGTATATTTCTGAAACGATTATTCAGTTTTAATAAAGTATCCGTTGCTTCTCTGTTGATATTATTGTTGTAATACAGGGAAAACGTCAATTCTTTCAACGTCGTGGGATTTCATTTGATAATATCTATCGTCAGATTAGCTAGATCAGCTCTAGAATTCCAATAAGTAGTTAATATTAATACTTAAAATCACCATTTGTGATGGTGTTTTTTATGCAAACCTTAACAAAATTAATCGTAATCAAAAGTTATAGTTGTGTATCTCATCGACAACCTGATATAGATAGTTAATCCAAACATTTAATATTTTGTAGTTAGATATATTCCTATTACATATCTGATGTAACTTACTTTTCAGTCTGAGTGACCTACTATTTAACTCCTATACATGTCCGCTAATTAACAATCACGCTAATATATTCTTTTGTGATCTTTCAATTTTACTGTTTTGGTCATGTTTTAACCACTTTTTTAATTATATAATTGTCCAATTTAACTCTAACGTTTTTTTCTGCTGCTTATTTAGGTAATTGATTGGGCACATTGTGATTATTGTAACCGTTGGGTACATCTTAATGGCTGTTGTAGTGAGGGTGCTGTAATAGGAAATAATTCCTTTATGTGTGTTGTTTGTCGGAATGATAGTACAACAACGGTGGGAAATGTAAGAAATTTTCAACAAGAAACACTGCTGACTAAAAATGGCAGTGGGGAACAAGGACAATCAATGGATGTTAAAGTTTAGATGTACAAAAATATTGTTTTTATTCTATTTTTTATTGTCTTCCATTGAGGTAATTGTGTATCATGTACATAGAGACTGATACAAAATATTTTTGTAACGAACCAGGGAAGTTTTTACATTCCAAGTTGTATTTTTGTTTAGTTTCATTGCACAAGTTGCTTATGTTCCGTTTGTTTTTATTCTATTACGTAAGATAAACTTTATGAAAATCTTTTATAATCTACCATGTGACTGGAAAATTAACTGTTGTTTAAAGCCTTCATGCACAGTAAACAATTCGTTTGTATGTTTGTAAAAATATTTTTATCATTCTTCTAACACAAAGTTGAGTTTACTCTGTAATTCACTTTACAGTTTATGTTCATTGTGTTAATGATCCTCTTATTACTCTACTTCTTATCCATTGCCTTTTGCTCCAACTGTGGCTGTGCCAATTAAATTTGTAGATAAATAAAATTGTAATTTTCTTATCAGAAAATATAATATGAAACGCTGACAGTTGTTTATAAATATTTCTCATTTCTTCCTTTAAAAATTTTTTAAAATGTAAGTTGTACTTTATTACTTCGTTAAAGACCTATTCAGTTTACGTGGTAAAGAAGCGAAATGGAAAGATTGGTTTTCGTGTATTTTACAAGTATTTCAGTACAATATATGTAGATTAAGTCATTTCCTGAGCATTACTAACCAGTGTTTCAAATAGTATTATGTAGATAAAATTGGTTCCTGTCGTTGCTGTATGATGAATATCTATGTTTAAGTATACTAGGTATATGAACTCTATAAATTAGCTTCCTTGATATTGTAGAGTTCTTTTCGTATTCTAAACAAGCTAGTAGCGTGGTAGCAAATAAGTGTTTTTGTAAAAAATAGTATGTTTGAATGTTGATAGCATTCATTCCATTCTTTTGAATTCATTTCAATAGCATCATAAATTTTATAATTGTAATGTGGATTTCGTAGTTATAGATAATACGTCTAACTTTCAATTTCCAGATGCTTTTGAAGATGACAAAGAACAGTATTACAGTGAAAACGGTTTCAAAGATACAATTTGTATATACCTAGATGGTGATAATAGATGATTTACCGAAGCATGTTCAGAGTATTGAAATTTCAGGTAGTAGATTAACTAGCTAAGGTAGTCTTTGTACGTCCCAGATTGACGTTGTATATCTCTGTATCCTCAATGGCGCATGTTGGCATTTGTTATAGTCTGTGGATGCAGTCCCCGTCATACCAACACTACTCTGGCGATTTTTAAAATCTGGTTGGCGTTTTTAAGCCAGATTTTTTTCTACGGGATGTAGTTACCGACCCCATGTCCAACCCTCTTTTACTTGGGCTTGCCGTCAGTAACTGTAGGAGAGCTACAGGTGGAGTTGTCTACGCATGATACACAATATCTGTTAACCGGATACTATCAGCAACTGCCTACTATGGAAGAGAGAAAACTAGCTTCCAATTGAGGAGGAAATCGGGAAAAGACTTTGGAAGTGGATATGACATACATTACGGAAATCACCAATCTGCATCACAATGCAAGCCCTAACTTGGAATCCTGAAGGGAAACGGAAAAGTGGAGGGTTGAAGAACACAATACATCAGGAATAGAAAACAGAAATGGAAAGGATGAATAGCAACTGTAAAGAACCGGAAAGTATTGCCCCAGACAGGGTTAGATGAAGAATGCTGGTGGGTGGCCAATGCTCCTCCAGAAAGAGTGACAGGATTAAGTAATAAAGTAAATAACAAATTGGGTCGAAAATTTCACTGAATGTCAGTAGTAATGTTTTCACAACAACGCATGAGTTATTAATTGACAATCATTTTGAAGTCTTTGTCATACTTTAGAGTTTCTTCTGTGGTAATTCTGGCCATTAATTAATCAACTTAACGAAACCTAACTATAAATAATACATAGTATACAGCGTAAGGTGTATGACGTGTTTATACCTAATTATTCAAAGTCCGGCTTTGCAAGATGGTGAATAGCTTGGCTCTGACGACAAGTACTTCTAACACTTTGTAAAGCGTGATCGCTATTCGAAAATGTCATTATACTGTTGAAGTAACGTCCGATTACTGTTCACCCTAGCAATTGCTGGTGGATCGCAAATTACACAAGTTTCACCGCAACAATTTTTTTAAATTTAAGACAGTGAAACTTGCTTTCCAGAAATTGTTTTAGCTCATAAGCAATTTAAGTTGGAAAGATGTTGAAATCCGTATGTTTAGTGCCCTCGTGAAAAACACCAATTAGTAAAGCACTGTTTATTTTAGAAGAAATAATGCAGCCTAAAATAGGCCATAATAGTTTATTTGAACTTCTATACAGAACCAACACATCCACATTCATCTGCAAGTGTATGGAATCAAAACTGAGAGTGGATAGCCATTTTTCAACATAGCAGATCAGTTCATTATACAATGTGCTAGTAGAGCCCATTACTAATCAACTTCGGCTGCGTGTTTTTAACACACTTCGGATACTACTGTACAGGTGCGACAAGTTCTTGCATATTGAGTTCAGGATGACACCAGGTTTCTTAACTTCTGCCTCCATCCTTCATAGTTTCAAAAACCAGCACATCCATCTCCCTAATGGTCTGATATTCTTGTGGAAAGAACCTTAAGTCCAGAGAGTCTAAAATTGAGAAGTGTTGAATTACGTATTTGTTATCTACAGTCAATGTTAAAAGTCTTTGAAAAAGTCTGGTTACTGGATGGTACTATGGTGCAACAGCTACCAGCACTTGTTATTTCCATCATACATGCAGATGAGGTGATTTTACTCGACCCAAAAGACATTTATCTGTTAAACGTGTTCCACCGTTATGTTAATCTATAAATGCTTGCAACACGATGAATGATTTACTCTCTGAATAGTTTGAATTCATCTCAATAAAATACTGATTTGATCAATTCAATGTTGTCCTGTGTGCTTTCACCATAAAGAAACTACTATATGTTATGTTATGTGTTATTTCTTTTTTGACATATCTCTGGGTAATTCTAGGTTCATTCATAGGTATTTTTGTTCTGGTTTCCTGTAATGTTTATAGTTATCTGAATTACTATACAAACTAGGAATCCCTGAAATAATGCAATTTAAACCAAGCAGAACTAGCTGAACAGAAACGAACGTATTATATTTAGAATTCAAAATCAGGCAGATATCAAGTTCATACAAACACAACATTTTCAATTTTCTTCAGCCATCGAGTATAACTTAATAAATTGTCATGTTTAAGAGTATGAACTAGTAATCCCAGCAAATAACGAAATTTAATCAAGAAGTATTAGATGAGCACGAACTAATGTACTGTATTCGGAATTCAAAATAAAAACAGTCATCAATACAAAGAAATCATTGGTCACATGAACATCACATAAATATAACACTTTCCTTCTATAAAGGTCAACTTCAAAATTTAGTATTATACCACCTACGTTTCTTTATGATAAAAGTTGTGATAGTAGTAAACAAAATACTAATTACTGGCTATAATTCGATTAAAAAACCCTGAATAAACTGTTTATTCTTACTTCACCAGCCATCTTAGAGCTAATACCTATTCATTGACAGTTTTTTTCCTCATTATGAGTCGGGTCTCTTAACTCTCATTATATGACTACAGCCTTGTCAGTTGAATGATTCAAGGGTAGGCTTGACAATCATTAATCAGTGGTTCATATCAGTATACTGAATTACTCATCCGAAAACAGGCCTTCAGTTTACAAGCATACTTGCACCATATCTCGTTTCTCGTCTATTACAGATATTATTTATTATTCTTATTATTATACTAACTAACTCCTCTCATGCCACCTTACCTTATATCATCGCTCATCGTCTTTACATATTCATATTTGGTTCTCCATTTGTTCACTAGTTTAATCAATTGATAAATTTGTTTATTTATAAACATAGGACTTTCTTTTCATTCCAAATTTTTTTGTTCCATTCCTTAACAATGTCATACGGCAAAAAACCTGTTAACTGTCCCGGAAGACGACAGCCGGTGGTTCTAGTAACAAGACTTCCATAAAACAAAGGAACTGATACTCGAATTATACTGACCTTGTAGTGACACTTTTACGACGAGAACGCGATTGGTATAATGGAAACAGTTATTGTTATAACCAATTGTATCAGTGATTATTTTACTGTACCTGTTTGTATAAGTGTGCGAAATAGAAACATTCTTCCGTTGCCTGTGACCTTGCGTGAACTCGCATACGCTTAGTAGTTCTGCTCGTTAACTTTGGCACGATGTCGGTATTCTTTTGATACCACGAGATCACCAACAAATATATACAATTGCGACCGTCAACAGTCTTCTGATTTCTTGGCCTACGGAGGAATCCAACCTAATATCTGGCCCGTAATCTTCCTGTAGTGGTGATAATGGTCATTCGCGACTCGAGGCCTAGTACAACCTCCAAATAATCGTAGAATTTACTAGGATAAGGACACCTGAGTGGACAGTTCAGGCACATCAAAAGATACAGAATGCATTGAACCATAACATCATGGTGCACAAAATATATTGTGGTGGATGTCGAGTCGAAGACGGACTATGATCACCACTACAATTCGTTTACGCGCCCAAAAACGACTTGGTTCCTTTGATAGCTCGTAAAACAGAAGACTTTATTAATCCAGATCAATTGTATTTATTGTCGATCTCGTGGTATCGAAATAATACCGAGACGTGCCAAAGAGTACAGGCGAACAGGCAGTGCGTGAGCAAGTTCGAACCAAACAAGGCGGAGAGCGAAAGCAGAAGTGAAACTGATACAGTTAAACAAAAACAGTAAAACAATCTCTGGTACGATTGGTTACAATAATAATAATTGTTTCCGTTATTCCAATCGTGTTCTTATCGAGACTTGCCGGTCACTACAGGAGCCCCCCGCTAGAAAGGGTTTACACTTTCGATACGTAGCGGTTTCGTCCGTGAGACTGATCGCGAAACGTGCAATTGTAGGACGAAGGCGTTGGCAGAACAGGAAGTGATCGTTGATCCTCGAGTTGCCACCAAAAGTCTTTGACGTAGAACGGTACCAGAAGGAATGTACTGTATTGATTGCTTGGATTAGCATGCTACATCAGAGTGGTTTGTATCCAGAATCTGAAGGTTGCGTTCGTAGGGATCCGGACCAGAAACGCTGCAGACGTAGGACGAAACCAGATTGAGCCAAGGAACCAGATGCGACCAGGATAACCATGTTCGGGACCACATGTATACCAGACGTATTTGGAGCCAGAGAGGTCGACTGAGTGCGTTGACTAGAGCGTGGGTGATCAGGCCAGCTTTCGCCAAAGTTGACTGAAGTCGACGATACCGGAACAGCGATGGTCGGAGGCGTAGGCTCGGGGTAAACAAAAAAAATGAGAGAAAAAGAGAAAAGTGTAGCATCCGTGTAGTATAGGGTTAGGGTCCTATACTGTATCCGCTGCTGGTTATGAGGTAAGTCGCGAAAGCGTACTCGGCGACTGGAACGTGAGACGGTAGTCTCGTGAGCCTACAATCTCATCCGCAGTCAAGGGCGGTGTGGTCTGCTGGTCTGGACGTGAGACAATAGTCTCGTCCGTAGACGGGGCAGATGACACGTGCTGTTGACTGGGACGTGAGAATGAGGTCTCAGAAGCATCTAACGTGGGATCCGAAGTAGATGTAGAGATCCCGCTAGAAGCTTTGATGGGTCTAACATTCGGTCTC